ACTCTGTCACTCAGTTTCAATGGTGTTGTCAGTCACCTTGATTGGTTACTGAAAATCCACATAAATGACTTCAGAATACTGCACTAGTCGACCACAGTCCAAAAAGTCGCGATCAAAATCCATTCAGTATTTTTGAAACCAAAATTAAAACTGCCATAACTTAAAAGTACACGCCATAGATTTTGAAAATCACCAGACTATATTTTTTCCAGCCACAGCTTCTTATAAAACCTCACACACACACATTAAAAATGGCTTAATCTGTAAATATTTTTTCTGGAGCATATCTGATGTTAATATTTCCATTGAAGCTTATAGGAAAATGGTTGCTGTTATGATGACTGGCCAGTCATTTTTTAGCTAAAAACAACCTTTATAAATTTTAGAAAAGGTCTAATCCAAGTGCAATTCGAGACAGTTCAATGATTTTTCAGTATGAGAAAATTGCTTGTTTTCCCAGGAAAATCCATTTTAGCGTGTAAATATCATAGAGCGTACCTTTAATTAGTTCAGTTTTTGGCCTTACCCAGCAGATTTAAAATCTATCATGTGGATAGTAATCATGCAGAGTATGAAGAGAATGAAACTTAAATACAATGAAAGTTCATTTTTTAAAGTTCTGATTTTTTTAAACTTGTTGGAGAGGTATAGTTATTTTATTCTTTTGAAAATAATTTCAGGATGTCAGATAACAGTGTTGCTTTTATTCAAAGTGAACTGAAGTCAGTGAAAGAAAATTGTGAGAAGAAGGTGAAGGATTCTAAATTAGTGGCATGTGTACCTGCTATGGTTAGAGTTGTTCTGGAGTAAGTATATAAGGAAAACTGATGGAGAATACCTAGACCGTCAGAGTAGTCAACAATTTTTCTTCCCAATAAGCCATTAGCAAATCTTGAACCACCTTTCTTTTTACTCTCTTCTTGAAAGCCTGTGTCTACAAGTGAGACTGTCAATTTTGTCATCATTCATGTAAAACTAACTGATAAGCGCTAGTACATGGTGTGCTGTAAAGCTTCTTGTGCACAAAGCAGGCACATTTTAGGTATGGAGATGTTTTCTATGGCATTTTCATTTTGACTGCTCTGTTTTTATTGATGAAGATGAAAATATTGACTTACTAGTAAGCTAAATTGTTTGTATGATAATCTCATTAACAGACATTTATAAACTATTTTAATAAGATTTTTTTATTTAATCAAAACAGTGACATATAATAAATCATAATAATAATATTATATTATAATAATAAGTGCCTGTTTTTCTGAATAAGTTATAAAAATTATTATTAACAATCAAATCTTTTCTCTGTTTCAGGCAAACACAACACAAGAGCATAGTGGTTTGTCTCATGTTCCCAGATAAATATCCAGATGCCACAATTTTGATAGAACTGAAAAGCAAAACTCTCTCATACAAGCTTCTGCAGGGACTCACTAAAGTTGCTGAGGAGGAAGCAAAAAAATATCTAGGGAGAGAACAGGTAATATCATTTTAGAAAAAATCTCTTAAAATTGATGCATATATCTAATGTACATATAAGACAGTAGTAAGTTTGGAAAATGTGTATACTATATTGTTGTTTTTCAGGTCTTAATGGTGCTCAAGTTTATCAGGAATTTCATTCAAGAAAATCCCCTGTGTGTTTGCAGTGAAGAAATCTCTTTCATAAAAAAAGATCTTTTACAAGACTGTGATGACATTAAATTAAAACAGAAACTATCTCAAATTATTCTTAAAGTGAAAAAAGACCAGTACTTTATGAACTTTAAGATCACAATACCAGATAATTATCCATTTGATCAGTCTAGGTAAGTGTTCATGCAAAGTTTGTATTTGTATTGTTTGTTTCTCTCTGTTTATAGAAAACATTAAAAAAAAAAGACCATTATTTTAAAAGAAGCCTTACTGAACACTCACTAAAACTTTTAATGTATTTTTATTATGTATAACTTAAACATGTTCAGTAGAGATTAGACAACCTTGTTTTTATTTCCATTTTAGCATAGAGGTAGCTGATCACAACTTTCCAGAACCATTGACAGTCAACATATTAGCTCAAGCAAATGAAATAGCAAGGCGGTGTGTACAACCTCCTCTTAAAAAGAGACCTAAGTAAGTACTGATATCTTCAGATGACAGCAATTATAAAAACTCAATTATGGCATTATATTCAAAATAATTTGATGTATGCAGTTTTTTACAGTAAAAGGAGAAGGGTCTAGATAATCCTAATTGCAATCTTACAGTATAAACTGGATGCGGCATATATAACACTTCACATTTAAATAGCAACATGTGTTGCATGCAGGGCTTTTCCCAGGATTGGGTGTAAGGTCGTCCAAAATCATGTTTGAGCTGGACAACGGCACCATTTGAGGTGACAAACTTTTCAGAATTATCGAAAGGCCCATTTTCAAGTTCAACAAAATTTTCAAAGCGAAAAAAATTACATTAGCTGAAAATTGTCTTCCAACAAAATTTTCCAGACAGATGAAATCTTCAAGTTTTTTACAGCACATCTGGATCAGGTTTTTTAGTGAAATACATTTCAAACATAAGACTTCAAGAAGAATTGAAAAAAGTCTGGAAATTCTCAAAAGTAGATATACTTCTGATGGTGATATTGTTTTGCAGAGACCCCCCATTTGAGCCAAAACCTGCTGTTCGCCCAGTGTGTGAGTATATGATTCGTACCTGTATAAAGAACTATCCAGCCCAAAAATGTCCCCTGTGCAATGAAATGGCTCTCCCTGAAAACCCACAAGTGAGTTAAAGTAAAGCATTTTATTGTTAAATATTTTGACTCCTTTATTTAGTAATTTTGCTCAGTGAAGTGGTCAATAAGCTCATTTCATTAACTGACTCACCCTTAGTTTTTTCTTCTAGTTTTGGAGATGCGCAGATTTGAAAATTAAAAGTAAAGAGAAAAATTTAAAGTAGGTCAAATGTAAAATTCAAGATCTCATTTGGATTTGCCATATATAAGTGCAAGTAATGGTGGGTGTATCTCTTCTAGTTTTAGAGATAATTTTCAATCCTGAAAGATTTTTTAAAAATGTATTTCACCTTTAAAAAATTTCAAAGTTAAATGGTGCAGTCTTAATTATCCCACTTTTTTGGCGCATCAATATCAATCATTCAGTAGTGAAGCAATTCCTTGAATAATAAGGGAGGAGTTATCCAGTCAAAGAATTGTTAACAGATGGACAGATGTAGTGCTTTCGGGGTATGAAAATGTTCATTGAAAATTATTTTTCTCTTGGGCACCACCTTACTATTTAGAAAACAATAAACATTAATATGCTATGACTTATAAAACAGCTCCAATCATATTTTGTCTTTTGCTTTCCAGAAGTAAGGCAGTGAGGTTTATTTTTGAATATAAAAACACTTTTGATTGGTTTTGTAGGAAATAATAAATGAACCAAATCATGAGAAGTTTGCAGAGCGGGTTTATTGTGGTCACACATTTCATCATGGTTGCTTAGACATCTACATGAAAACACCACCTTTCACAGGTAACTTCAATATTTTTGTCCTTTTGCTATGAGCTATGTAGATTAATAAGATTAATTTTGAATTTTTGTTAAGAATGTTGAACAAAAATTTCTTGAATTCTGCATTGTTGAGATCACGCTCAAATACTATGTTAATTAAATAAAAACTCAGAGCTGTTCCATCACAGTAAATGAAATAATTTGTCTTTATCCATAATTTTGTAAATAATCACCCAAAGTACATAATTATCATTTTCTTAAAAATGCATAGTGTATAATGTTATCAACCTTTCAGGTGGGAAGAAATGTCCCAGCTGTAGTAATAGAATATATCATGAAAATTGGAAAGTGACTCCAGAACTAGCAGAAGCAAGATGGGCACACCAGGAGGCAAGGAGAAGGGAATTAGATGAAGTTGTGGACTTTTTAGAATGACTGTGATCTCCTTTGGTGACTTCTTTGACAAAAAGTATTTATTGAATAAAATTGCCCATATTTGCTTACTGCACAAAACCAGTTTTGAAATCTACTCCTTCAGTTTTTCTAGAACCATTAATTATCAATATTTTAATTATGATCACTTCTGTATTTGTGACATAAAAACGTTCTTTATATATATATATATATATATATATATATATATATATATATATATATAATTTATTCCTCACACCAACTACCAATTTTGTGTATATGGAGCTAGGTTTCATTTTATTTATGTTTACCGATTTAACATAATATTTTGTCAAATTGTTTGTCCCATGGACAAAAAAATTTTAAAAATTGTGCAGAGTGGTATCAAATAAATGATTTTTTTCTTTAAATTAATTTTATATATCAACAGTTTGTTAAAGTTTTTCACTTGCTGCCATGCTTTAGAATAGAAAATATTAGCCAGATGTCACCACAAGTGAAAAGTGTATTGTGAAATGAGTGCAATAAACTTTCTTCATTATATGCATTTTTTCTGAAAGGAAATCACCACCCATATTCTTGTTCATTCTGAATCTAATTTATTTGAAATCGGTATGCAGTACATCAAATAGCAAAATTATATCGGAGATGGTTTTATCAATTAAAAAGTTTAGATTATGCATTAAACTTGAAAAAAATTTGCAAAATCATCCAAATGGTCAAAGATTAGTGTATGTTATTATAACAGAAGAAAATATGTTTCATAGAACAACTACCAATCTTGTTTTTTTAATCATTAAAAAAAGAAAAAATTGTCAATTTTTCTACAAATACAACCTATCTAAATGGATTTACCTATTTGACTTCAACATTAACTTTTTGTCTTACTAAAATTTATTGAAAAAATCAAATGCCCCTTTGACCTGTTAATCACTTAAAACTGATCACAATGTAGTCAATTCATGCTTCTAGGCAAAATGGGTTGACCAAACTCAAAACGGCCTTTCTTAGTCACGTGATTATAATCACCTCAACATTAAAGGCTAATCTAACTTCCTATGATTTCCCTTATAGAGTCTTATTAGGTCACAGGTGGCACAGAGATTTTAATTTGCCATTTGATGCTAGACCAGCTAAACATAGTGTGAGATGCTGAAAGATTTTCAAAATTGCCTCGTCTCATGAAACCAGCCCTACAACATCAAGCATCACTGTCAATTTGACTGTATAATGCATGTGACAGAATATAGCTTGTTTTCTCTGCTATTTCATTTCATCAATCCATGAAGGTGCCAGTCAAAAGTGGTTTCATGTGATAAGGAAAATTAACAGACATTCTATATAAAAAATGTGCATGCTAAATACTATTTAGAGAAGCGTATCTGTTTTGGTTAGAAGTTTCACAGTGCATGGCTTTGCAAGGTCCACATTCAATAAAAAAACAACTCTTCATTTTTGAGGGAAAAGTGCAATAAAACAAATTTTACTTTTCAAAAGTTAATGAATCTGTTCCATCATTCAAAGTAAAATTTATTTTTAAGTGAGGTTTTTCTAATAATCTTTTAAGAGGTTATTATGGAGGATAGCCATCAATGAAGGTCCACAAAGTCTGCAGGAAAGGACAGATTGTGACATTTTGATGGTAAAATGGAATTTATATCTGTGTTGTTTACTATGTATTAACTGTGGAATTTTAAATCTCATTTGAAGAGTTATTATCCATTAAGCCCAGTATAAAGAGATTATTTGAGAAAAAAATCCTGTTGTTGCTATGAATATGTTACAGCAAGGAATTGCAAAAGTCTACTTTTCCTTTGTCTTTCCAAGTGATGAAAAAACAATTTCAAGAAAATATACAAATTTGCAACAGCACACCCAGCAGAGAAAAATAAAATTGATAAGACACCATGAATATTTATTTATATTAATGACCACAAAGGGTCACAGCAAAATAAATGTACCTTTTTTGACGAAAGTAATGTATATTCACCCATTTGATTTAATGTAAGCAAAGTGTTGGTAACAAGTTACCTAAGTCATGCCATCTGTTGTCTTGAATATGATAATTATAATGCTCATGTGTCAGACAACATGAATCATATTTTTTGCCTATGGTGTGTTGATCATAATCAAATGGCCAGTTGTTATGAGTTCTGTGACATCGAGTAGGTCAACCCACATGCTCATTATGAGGCTACTTTACATACTACACATATACATACTATACCACACCCATTTATTAATATACAAGTACAATTCAAATGATGATAAGAACACGAATCATGACCAAAACTACTTTCATCCAAATTTCTAATTGCAAAAATTTTAGGATAATGCCACCCAAAAATTCTGACTTAAAGTAACCCTCTCCTCCTTTTATGTTAATTAGAGTAGTAAGGAAATCAGAATATGTCAAATTATACTATCATAAAATAGAGAAAATCCCTTACATCAATACAAAATCCCAACTACAAAATTCCTGTGTTAGTGTCTCACACTTAAGACAATGTAGTTGTTGATACCAATATTGTACACGCAGAGAGAAAAAAAAAAAAAAAAAACAGAATGAAGAAGGGCAACCGAAAGGTGGTCTCTGTTATTACACTATGACTACAGAGGCAACAGTCTGTAACATTAATTCCAAAGGGACTGTATATATGATTTTAACAGAAAAATACAACCAGTTTTTTCCTGGGATCCCCAACAATTTTCTAGCACTAACCAACAACATGTCAGTTCTAAACTAAAAAAAGTCATGTAAATACAAATTTTAGAGACTTAAATTACCCCAGTAGCTTACCAAATCCAAAAACAGAAGTACAGCAAAAAATAACCTGCTCCAAATCCAAATCTGTATGATGATTCTAAAATAATGCAGTGCATGAATTTTTAAATATTTAACTGAAGCACAATGCTCTAAACACTAGGAAATCAAAATGCAGACCAAAAAATGAACCAAAAAATAAGAAAGATTAGTTTGACCATGACTGCAAAAAGATGTGAGCAGATGATTTGCCTTTTATTAAAGAAATAGAAATGCACTTAGGCCTCCAAGGAAGCTCATTACTATTAATCATTAATTAATAAATTTATATATTAATAAATCACAGAATATGTAGCCGTTTGTTGCTTGATTTCCTCCCAATAGTTCCTGTAAAATTCATCAAATTCTGTTCACAACCTTTTGCATAATGCTGGTAACAGAGAGACATACCATTAACAAATTAACAATTTATTAATTAATGGAACATACAATAAAGCAATAACACATTAATTTTTTTTTAGTTTATACACAATTAACAATTAATTCTGCATGTCCATTCTGGGAGTTCAAATAGTTTTATTGCAGCCAAGCCAGAACATTGTAGGTTCTACATTAGCTCAGTGTTATTAGCCAGGTAGAAGCACCAAAGTTCCCAGATGGACCAAACCAAAATGAAACCCTTAAAATGAAAACAACAGTAAACTGGGTTCCTAACAAGGATACAACTTTAAATCAGGCCCTAATTCCCTCAAGAGAAAAAAAACTGTACCTGTATGTTTTGAAAAGTTCAGAAGTTGTCAGTCTCTCAAAACATTGGTACAACTTTTTTGCAAAGGTAGTTCTGAATTTTTGAGAAAAGGCCTTAATACTTAAATTCATTACCAATACTCAACAGCAATTCTTCATTTTAGAAACTTATCAAAATGGACCTCAACTACCCTCTACCAGGGCTGCAGTTATTATGTGGAATTTTTCACTTCTTTCATAGTACAGAGAAGTACTATAATTATCTAGAGACATTATCTATGAATATGTAGTGAAAAATCAATCTGTGGCCCTGGTAGAGGGTAGACCTTAATCACTTATTGATAAAGAACTAGATTGTCTTGATCCCAAGTCTCTTGACTTTAGGCTAATGGGCAAGACATTGGCCAACTCAGATGTTCCCTCATAACTTGTCAGTCTGTGAACTAAGTTCAATAGCATATTGAGTAGCCAATTAAGTTTGATACTTAAGTTGTATGTGGCTAAGTTTTTATATATAATATAACCAATCAATTCCCTACATACCACTGCTGATACTGTATTTATCCACCCCAAGCATCAGATGGAATGTGCAAAGTGACTGGCTCATCCACTGACCACCATCTCAGTCCATTTGTAGTAAATTGTATACGAGATGCCAGCTAACAGCAAGCGACATTGTCGCTCATTAGAGTTGTTACAAATCATTTTTCAAGACTTGCAATAGATTAAATTTCTGCACTGGCACGAGGTCTAACAATTTCCTTGATGAAGGTCTGACAATTTCCTTGATTTTCTTGACAATTTCTTGTGATGAAGCTTAAAACAATGTTACAAAGTTGGAAAAAAAACTCCCTTTTTTTCTAAATAATCTTTTACCTTAGATTCACTGATTATTTAAGACAAAACATTTCTATATCAGTAAACTTTCACAGTCAGCCATCACGTACAGAAAATAGTGATCACTGAAGCAACAATCACTGGATGCAGCAGTTTTTATCCGTATTGGTTTTATGCAAATTGGGTCTGTTTTGCCTGGGGCTTTGGCCAAAACGTTCCTGTGAGGACTGTGTAGTTTGCCATGGTGTGCTTGAACCTGCAGCATAAACATTGCTGGAGTGTGTAGCATAAACATCACTGGGCAAATTGGGTCTGGCTGGTGCAGGTGGTGGTACATGTACTGGGCTGGTTGAAGAGAAGTTGGCTGAACTGTAGGGATTTGACAACTGGAGAGGGGAAAATTCACTGTCAGGCTGTGTGCATGTATACTCTATGAGATACTCTGGGTAGCTCTGGTCGTGGTCAAAGATAACAAAGATGGAAGGAGACATGGTATTATCCACACAGGAGTTGTACAAATCGCTTTCAAGTTTGGCAGGGTTTACACTTGGAGGTCTTTTCAATCCTTTCTGTCCCTGTACGTACATGCCCACCAATACTCTGGCCAAAAACATGTACTGCCTGTGTGAATTTCTATCGGTATAGTTGTTACTATACTTGGCTGTTTTTGCAAAGTAGCACCCCTCTCCATACATCACTGCATTTTTTCCACTGACGCGTGCATCAAAGTTCTGCTTGCAGATGGCTTTGATAACTTCAAAGGAATCCGATCCATGGAAAAGCTGCTTTTCATTCAAGTTGTCTCCCAGTTTGCTCAACAGAAACTTCTTTTTGCTGTAATGTGTTATAAAAGGATATATATATATTTATATATATATTAGTATAATAAAAAAATCAAACAGTTTGGGTATCAAAATTTAAAAAAAAATTATAATCCTGTGAATGCAGCTAAGTTTTACAATGCACTGTTTTACTTGTACTGTAAATTCTAAAATACGGTAAGGTATGTCAGGTGAAAAGTCACTTTTTAATTCTTTACTGTACCTGCAGTATTTGTGCCACTGATAAGGATTCTGAACTTGGTACACCTTTTTGACTTCATAATGTTGATTGCCAATGCTGCCCATAAACATTTTCTCAGTTTCTTTATATTTGACTGATGATTCTTCAAGTGGAATCATTTCATAATCTGAGGCTGTATCAATGGGGAACCAGTGTGAAGGGGCTTCATCCAGGATGGTTGGAAGATGTCGAGATGGACTGGCCAAACTGCCAAAACATAAACGAAAAATCATGTAAAACAGCAATATCCTTTAATACTGTTAAAATGAAGATTCTCAAAAATTGATTAGGTGTCAATAAAAGCCCCTAAGTTAAGTATGCAATCAAGACAAAATGTGGTAATCTAGGATTTTTGTCATCACAAAAAATAGCTTAAAATTAGTAGTCGTCTTTTCAATATGCCAGTTAAACAGTTGTATTCTTAATCCATCTGGAGTTAACCAACCATTTGCTGCCAAAAAACAAAGGTCTGCGAACAACAGCCCTCATCTTTCCAGTTTCCCAGTTTTTTTGGTACATTTTGGACATGTTCAGAGAGTATATAAACTGTCCATGTTGGAATATATACTTTTTCTGACCATGAAGGAATTTCAATTCAATGACTGACTGATATGGTGCACCTCCATCCTAAAAAAGAAGTAAAATCATCTTGATGGTTTATAATGACAATTATCTTTTGTGGTTGTAATGTCATTTATTATTGTAGAAGTGAAAAGTATCATTTATTGAACTTAATTAAACACTTATTACTCAGTACATACCACTTGTTCATACATCATCCAATTTTCCACAAGATTTCCTCTTCTGTCTGTTTTGTAACCATTATCTTGCCAATACCACCTCCACTGAGTTGTCATATTACCGACAGTAGCCTCTTCTTTTTCAGCTTCTTTGACTTGAACATAGGAGGGGGTTGAAAGGCGCCGTACTGTCAGACCCAGAGTTGCTTTCATGGTATTGAAGTCAATGATGCGAATAACAACAGTGTTTCCACCAGAGTGAACTTTACACCCTGAAGTAATCTGCGGGCAAATATTGAAAAAAATATTATTGACAATCACTACTGTGGCAGGTTTACTACATATGCTTTAAATTTAGTCACTTATAATGCATCACAAGTAAAATGAAGACAAAAATAACTTAACTACAGTAATGATAGAAACTCTGAAAAATACATTTCAAATATAAATGATATCATAAAAAATATAATTTTTTACAACAAATTATAGGCCACCATAGACAACTAATTTACCTGTATGTCTTTGCACTCTGGTCTGCTGAAAGCCTGTTCTATCATCTGGTTGGTGCCATCTTTGTCCAAAGAAATCCAATTCCCATCCAGTAAAACCTGCCATAGATAGGGCAGTTGATAGTGGTGGCGCTTACAACTTTCAGTGCTGTAACACTCACCCCTCAAATAGGCCTCACAGATTTCTGTAATATCTGGGTCACTGTAGCAACTACTATCATCTTCCATTAATGGCTGTTTGACCTCTTCTTTTGCTGGAGGGTTTTCAACAACATGATGTGAACTGCGAAGTTCCTCAACGCTACCTGGAGCAACTTCTTCCATCACAGGTTCAATGTCACCGCTGTAGGAGCGTTTGTGTTCTGGTTGCTTCTGAACTTTTGTCTTTCCTTCTTCTGGCTCTGTGTAAAGGAACTTAAAGACATTCGGATTTTTCTGTAGATGATAAGCCCCAAGAATGTTCTTGCACTGTGGGGAATTCTTGTCATGATTGAAGCAAGCCTCAGGAGACTTCAAGCAGCTGTTTCTAACTAATCTAGAACAAATATGAAGTCTGCGACATGCATCTCCATACTTACAACCACCTTGATTGTAATCACGGCACACTCTTGGAGTTGACAGCTCTATTAATCTTAGGATCTCATGATCACTGAAATCATCAAGGCCATTTTGCAAGACAATTCTTTGGTTGTGTGGAGATTTTACATCATGAGAGTATCTACAGTTTTCTCCAAAATGGCAGCAACCCATAGAAAAGTTTCTGCACAGATGAAAATATTTGCATGGGTTTTCAGTACATTTTCCTTTAGGGATCAGATAGCCAATACACAACTTTGGCCCTGGATAATATACAGATACTGTACTGGCTGCTTCATCAAGGATCAGTAAAAGTAATGAACTTCTTGGGGCGACTCTTGAACCAAAATCAGTATTCCACTTGGGGTCCATTCTTCAGAAAATAAGCCTGTTTCATATATACTGAAGACACTTGTCACACCATCAAAATGCTTAAGAAGGGTATTGAATACCTCTACTTCATCTGGTTGTTTTGTAACCACTGTGCCACCTGCGTTTTTGGTGATGTTGTCACTTTGAGCCACATTATTGGTCTTTCTGCCTTGCTCTACTTCCCTTTGCTTCTTCTTCAATTTTCCACGGCTCTCTTCTTCTTTCACCTCATTTACACTAACTGTGTCTTGCTGCTTCTCCGTGCATTCATCATTTCCAGAGTCAAGTTTTTGAAAGTTTGCAAAAGTTGTGAATGTTTCATTGGAAGATGATGTTGATACTTTCGGCTTTTTATCTTTTCTGCCTTTCTTTCCTTGCTTCTGGGGTTTGGCTTCAGGAGGGTGTTCTTCTTCCAATATATCCTGCTGTTCTTGCTGCTTCTCTGTGCATTTATCTTTTCCAGCTTTCTTTCCTTGCTTCTGGGGTTTGGCTTTAGGAGGTTGTTCTTCTTCCAATATGTCCTGCTGATCAGCATTCTTGTTTGGCTTGCTTTTTTGGGCTTTCTTACCAGCTTTTGACCCATGCTGTGGTAGGATTGGTTGTGCTCTGCTGTCTGCTGATGCTGGTTCTTTTGGCTGTATATCCATTTTCTCACCCTTTTGCAATGATTGCTGTGATCTGGCTTTGGAAGATGTTTCATTTTCCAAAGTGTTAGGGTGGTCCTCAATATGTTCCATCTCTTCACGAGAAGCAGAGTGAACCAAACCATAGAGCTGATCTTGACCACAAAATCCCTCTTTTTCAAACATTTCACTATCATTCTTATTTCTTGGTGTGCCCCTCCTTTTTCTAGACTCTCCTCTTCCTTGTCCTCTTCCTCTGTGTTGGTTAGGGGCAGCCGCAGCACTACATAGCTGTTCCTCTGAAAAGAACTGTCCCTTTCCATACATCCTAGCTTCATTTCTTGGTAAGCCTCCTCTATATGGTGGACGTCCTCTTTGTGGTATCTGACCTCTTCCTCTACCTGTGCGTGCAAGAAAAGCATCTGCATTCAAAAGACTTAAATCTGCCAAATTATTAGAAATGTCAACTTGCGAGTGATACATCCCTAGTAAACCCCTTCTGGGTGCATTCATTCTTCTTGGTGGTCTTCCTCTGCCATGATGGAAATGAAAATCATCAGAAGCTTGGTCATAGAAAGGAAAATCTGTATGCTGAAACTGGTCTTGGACACCATGCCAGTCTGGCCAGTGTCTCAAATACTTTTCATTTACATCCTGCCCTTGGTCTGTGTATCTTCTCTGGTGTTGTGGTGGTCCCTTGTTCTGCCATTCAGGACCTCCACTGATTTCTTTATTGCAAGAGCATGGAGAGACTGGTTGCTCAGTACTTGGTTCTTCATCGTCTGATGATATCATTAATTCAGATCCACAATCTTCTACACAATCCTTTTCCCCAATCTTACTTTTCCCTCCTCTTCCTCTACCCCCTCTCCCTCTTCCTCTCCAATGCTGTCTGCCAGCCCTGCCTCTTCCTCTGGCCCTTCCTCGTTGATTCGAATTTTTTCTACTTTCATCACCATCCATAATGATTGCTTATTTCACATGAACTGAAAGAAAAAAAGAATATATGATCAAGAATCAAAATCATGAACAAATTTCATACCTTAACATCAAGGATGCAGATTAAAGGGAGATAAATAAGAGATATTTCACAATAAATACATTTCAAACAACTCATAGAAATGTAATAAATCCTATTTTGACCACCAGAACTGTGGACTCACTCTCACTCTCTCTCTGTTGCCTTTACTGGTACTTTTTTTTATTGCCATATGGCCACTGAAGTGGGTCAAGTAGAGTGGTTATCTAATGCAGACATGATACGGTATACATGATACTCAGGTTTGTTTAAAGCGCTCTTTGTTTGGTGTTGTGAGTTTTGTTTGTGGTGTTGGTGTTGTGAAGTTTGTTTTTGGTGTTGGTGTTGTGAGTTTTGTTTTTGGTGTTGGTGTTGTGAAGTTTGTTTTTGGTGTTGGTGTTGTGAGTTTTGGTGTTGGTGCTGTGACCCTTACACGCTTCCATAAAATATGTTTACTTTTTCAAACTTCTAAAAGTACTATACAAATACTTGTTTGAGGGGCAGAGTTCCTGTAAGCACTTGTCAGTGTCCAGACAGTGTGGACAGCAATCTTTCACAAGCATGTTAGAGTGCTTAGTAGACCTAGTTTTTTAACACTTCAATGAATGTGGTAGTCTGCCTGGGAGTACATTTTGATCTCCTCTTTAGTAAGTCAAGCATACAATGTAAATTATTTGCTTTTCTATTTATTCACTCAAAAAAGGTTGTCTGATCTATGATGATATCACAGTTGTTTTGGTTTAAATGCCACCAAAATTCACTGCTTGGCTTCAAAATTTTCCCCTCTCATTTGCAATTGAGGAGGAGGAGGGGGGGGGGGAGTTGAATCTTCTTCCTAGCATGTTTCTAGGTGCTTAGTATGCCATATTCTTAACAAATGGATTTTTATCATGCTATTACTTAATTTACTCCTCAAGACATCTGAAACAAAACAATTATGTGCTACGTAAAATGGAGAAAAATATGTTCCAAATAGCCTAATATGCACCAAATTGCACCTTGATTTAAAAAATTTCCAGGGGAGCATACCCTTGGACCCCATAGTTTTGCTGGGGCCTTAAATTGCCCTGAGATATCTATCGGGTTGAAAGACATAATACATGTACATATAAATGTTTTGGTAAGGATTCCACAATATTGCTGCTAAAACCCGCATTTTGATATCTACCGGGGTAGTCTGTTAACACTGATACTCACAAGATGGCATCTTTGTGTGAGAGAAGCACACAAGGTAACTTCATAAACAACAGTACATAACAATTCATCCTTTGTCTGGCAAGGGGAATAGTCGACCAATATTTTTTTGTATGTTATGGCCTTTGCTTTCAAGTTGATTTCTTTAGCAGAGTATTATAATCTATGCAGCTGTAATCAAGTGGAATCCGACCCAATCCCAGCCTTTTGTCAGCCGTTTTGTTAGACATGTGTACCAGTAATTCAAATATGTAAACACACAAGGAAAAGCATTTTTATTTGAATGACTACTTGGTAAATACAATCTGAAAAACATATTGCCTGTTTTCAATTTGAGGTGAAGGTACAGGTAGTATTTTGCACTGAAGTTTGATTTAAAGTTATCCTGAGTGCCATGCAGCTAGCTTATGTGGCCGAAGTTGAAAGTGAATAAAATCTTTTAAGTTCCCTTACCTCACAAAAATAATAGAACAAGGCAACAAAGCTGTGTAAATGTATACACATGAAGCACAAAATAATAATGGCTAGTGCACAAAATATGGCTTTTGTTCATTTTGATGCAGTGTAACATTCTCAGGCCTACCCAACTACCAGACTCGGCACCTAAGGATCCTGAATTAACCGGTATATCGGACCACACTACCCGTTTTCAAGGTGTGTGTCAGATCGCATTTCGGAGTATCAGCCAGAACACCGACAGGATGAGCCCTGGCATGCTCGGCTGTCACCTTGATTGGATAGTAAACGATTGTCGTAAAATCGCTATATGATTTTAAAACCGGGTGCATAAATTTGAAAGCCACTTAGATGAACCTTAGACTGCCACATTAATCTAATACAATGCAAAAAAAGCCCTATCAAAAGTGGTTAAAACATTCAAACCGAATGTCATAAAGTCCCCATATATCCCCATAGAGACAATAAAATAGAGTACTCTAAAGTAAGAGTACAGTTTAAGGTTGTTCAGCAAAGCGTGGATGAGCCCGCAGTCGTGCTACAAATTTTGTTCTGGGGTATGATACTCCGAAATGCGATCTGACACACACCTTGAAAATGGGTAGCGTGGTCCTATATACCGGTTAATTCAGGATCCTTAGGTGCCGAGTCTGGTAGTTGGGAAGGCCTGATTCTGCTCAACAGCATAATCTTCAACAATTTTTATTTATAAAATATAATTAATGTGGACATTCAACTGGCAAAGGGCTTCAGTTCCATGGGAGTCCCAAGTGACAAACTGAAAATTCCAACATGTGAAAAATGAAAAATTCACACATATATCTCTAAAAGATTACCAGGCTTGAGGCAAAACAGTAAAATTTGTACTTATAAGGTATGAAATATTAGCGTACACATTCTAAATTCCAAATGTGTGAATTTTACCATGAATGCCTCAAGAGAAAGACCATAAGATCCACTGATAGAATTAATAATATGAAGATTTAAAATTATTATTAACAAATCATTTTCCAATTCTATGGTCCATTACGCATTTCCCCTTTTCTCACTTAAAATAATTAATATAAAATTTTCTTCTGACAAATAATTACTAGTCATATAATTTTAATTAAAAGTAAAAATAAGCAATGTCTCATAAGGAAATTGATTGAGGTTTGACAGAATCTGTCACATGTACCCAAAGGGCAATTGTACATGTAATTGCTAATGGGGCTATTATGCCCAATATATAGAACAGACCAAGAGATCTTCCTAGGTAAAATGCCAATCCTAAAGGCTGATGCAAGGTCACCAGAAAGTAAATTTTGCAAAGTGTTTTACATAGCCAACAAGGATAATTTGGCCTCCCTTTCCAGTTTTATTATAAAATTATTTTTAAAAAATGAGGTAAGTGCTCTACTTGGTAATTACTATTATATTCCTTGTTTAAAGATATTAGTGTGTGGTCCCACTGTAGTGAACAGTGACTCTGCAGTCCACGGGAATAAAAAAGTGACACAATATTTATATCTGTATAACTAAGCTGTGTTATTTATTTATTCATTTTTCTAGTTATTGCTGTAATTGTAACCGTATGCGCCATGATTTGTGCTTATGATAAATTTATAAACATACACCAAGAAGTTATATCTCACTGCTTAGCTTGAACATTTCATTAATTCTTTTAACTAGTACGTGTGTTCATTATGTAAGGATATATTTGTTAAGTCACAAACTGGCAATGCAAATACCAATTACAAAATGATAATGCACCAATAGTTATTATTTTATATTATATAAGGTCATGATAATTTTT